CCCGTGGGGCGCGGGGCTTTCCCCCCCCCCCCCCCCCCCCCCAGCCGTACCCGCCGGGGACTGCCCGGGAAGCGTGCGTAGAGAAACCAGGTGCTGCGGCATTCGGAGGCTGTGTTCTGCCCGCGCCGCCCGCTGTCTCGGCGCTTCCAGAAGTGCCGCTGCTTCGGGTAGGAGGTGAAGGCGAGGTGTGAGCCGGCTGCGACGGTCTCTTTGCCAGAATTTCCAGCTTGGGCAATTGTACTGAACTTGCCTAAGCTCTGCTTAAAGCTTGGTTTTGTTCTTAAATGCTTCTTTTCTTTATACGGTTTCTGTGCCCTCTTAAGGCTGCTGTAATCCATTTCAGGCTTGGATCTGTGGCTTGAGATGATTAATGCATCTGTTTTCACATTGCTGGAACGAAAGGCATTAAAATATGATTTATCTTGAGAAAGATTATTTAAAATACAAATCATACGCAAATTGTCAATTTGATTCCTGCTATTTGAAATGTAAAAATATTAGTGAGTTACAGAAATGAGAAATTGCATGTGGATTTTCTCTTATAAATTCTTTTCCTTAGAAACTGAAATTTGTATCTGAACATGGTTGAAGTGGAGGAAAAAAACCTTCTATTTGAAGACATATGTTTGGAGACAGATCACTTTATTCCAGACTGCATTTGAATGATTTAATTGCTTGTAGCTACAGAAACTTGGCATGTGTGAGGAGTTACTCTTCTCTTGTGTGTTTTCGTGCATACTGTATGAAGCGTAGTTGTTCCAAGCTGACTTTTTAGTTCTAGTTGGGTACTTTATATATTCATGAATATTAACAGAAGATTGTAACAAAGAGTAGCCTGCTCGTTTAGGGAATTGCTTCACATTCCCTGTCTCCTCTCCAAGATTTTTACATGCTTGCTTTTTAATGACTAGCTTTCCTCCTCCTCTGGCATTCCCAAAAATTTTCTGGGTAAATGAGTATGACTGAATTGGTGGACTGACAGATGGCATCTATGAAAAGAAAGTGCCCCTCCCCAGTAAGTTCCTGCGGTGTTGAACTTCTGCCATCTTTGTATTTGAGAAAATAATTTCTCTTGCTTAAAGCGCTGCTTCTGCAGGCAGGTTTGCCACCGTGACTGCTGTGAGAGCAGTGTTACCCACTGACGGGTTCTGCTGCTGTGACTGTGCCTTGGGATGAATGCAGTTAAACACCAATAGCGATCCTCTTCCTATAGAATGAGATCTTCCTTGAAGCTGTTTGTACGTCCTCTTACGTTTTCGATACAGAGGAACCATGTGGTTTCTTGGTGGTGGATTTCAGAAAGTGAATAAACTTTCCTGTTTTCTCTTGACTGTGAACAGCTATAAATACTAGTCGTAGTTAAATTAGCTTGGTTTTAAGTCCCCCCGGCAATAACAACTATCCAGGAAAATGTGTGGGTTAAAGTCTTGCAACGGACGATGCCCACCTTACATGATCTCACCGATAGGAATGGGGTCACTTGAAAATGAAGACTCTTTCTCTTCAGTGTGGTCGCCCCGAGGGAGCAGTGGTTTCTGCTGTCTGCAGAGATGCGCGGAAGAAAGTGTATCACGCTGTATGCATTAATGGCAGGCTTACCTTCTGAGGGCTTTAAGTGCAGGTGAGCATCTTCTCTCTGATGGTGATCAAACGCAGCGTGTAAGAGAAGACATCCGTTGTAATTCCCTGTATCGGTCTCCCAGCCTCCAACACAATGTTGGCTTCGGGGCCTTCTCAGCCAAGAATGGTTTTTCCCTATTTAGTAGATTTGCAGTGAATTTCTTTTCCATGAACTTGTCCAAAAGTGACTTGAATCCATGTAAGCTGGGGGAAGCGGTAACTTCCTACAGTAAGGAGCTCCACAGCTCGCCTTTTACCGGTTGTGTGAAGAACCACCTTCTTTTTTATTTGTAGGTGTGAAGGCATGTTAATTCCACATAGGTGGTGTTGTTTTTGAAGACTTACTTTCAGAAGCAGAATAATTCCATAGATGCACTTCTAAACACCAGTAGAGTATGCTTGGCTTCTGTGTGGAATAGACCTCTTTGCCAGGTCTGATCTTTTCTTAAAATTATTTTAAGAGTTTTGAATTTTAAAAAAAGTTGAACAGGTGCAGGCTTGCCACTGTTTCAGAGCGCTACAAATACAGACTTGAATTAGCTTTAGGAAGGTGAAACCTCAAAATTAGAAAAGAACAGGCAAAGGCGGAAACTGTGCCATGCTATTTCTCTAACTGATAAAAAGGTCGGTTTGAGGAAGGCAAGGAAAATACTCCCTTTTCTCTTACATCCTGCTTTTCTTTTTGGTTAAATTGTAACCTAGGATGAGATGGCAAAACTGCCGAGCTTGGAAGTCAGGATCTGTCGGTACGTGCCAAGGGACAGGGGCTCTTCACTTGTTTGGCTGAGTTTCAGATCAGAACAAAGGATTACACAGTGAAAACAAACTAGAATCTGCTTGGTTGGTGTTAAAGACAATAAATAAATCATAGTTAAAAACGATATTTAACAATAACTCTTTCTTTAAACCTCAAACATTTAACATGAATTTCTTAAAACCGAATGTATCGCTAACTTCCGTTCTCGGTACCTTAGTCCCACGAATCTGAAGAATTGATGTGTTGTGATGGAGTATCAATAATCCTTTTCTTTTTCCCTCTTAGAAATGTGCAACAGAAGAATGTTTCTTTTTTGAGCGATTGGAGTCTAATAACTATAACACTTACCGATCACGGAAATACTCTGATTGGTATGTGGCACTGAAAAGAACTGGACAGTACAAACCTGGACCAAAAACTGGACCTGGACAGAAAGCTATCCTTTTTCTTCCCATGTCTGCTAAAAGCTGATTTCCATGGCGGATTCCGAGCACATATGCCACACTACACGAAAGACGTCGAGTCTCCTACTCCTCTCTGAAGCAGCAAAACCAGAAGCAATTATTTGCTGATATTAACTACTCTTGCAGATACCAGATTAAAAGATGAATGTTTCATACTGTCTTTATATTGCTCTTTGAACCTATTGTGCCAGTGTGCGTGGAGGTAAAATTACTTGGAAAATGTATTTTCAGGATCAATAATACTTCTGCTAGGTATCTATGTAGAGCTATTTTATTTTCCTTATGTTTGCTTTACAGAGTAAAGGAAAACAAATCTGATGCACACTTATAGCAATATTTACCTTTAAAAATAATTTATACCTTTAGAGCTTATTAGAGAATAGAGTAAATAATTACTTTCTAATAATTACCTAAAAAGAAGTCCATAGATAATTTTAATATGGTCTAAATAACACTACAATAATAACTCTAAATTATTAATGTAATGAAATGTGAAACGTGTTGCTATCATGTAATGTTTCTGTAGGACTCGGGCAGCTCCCTGTGGTACAGTTTGTAGAACAGGCCTGTGTAGACAGCTGGAAACTCTCTCATGGTTATATCAATCTTATCAAACCCTTCCCGGTATCCGTAAAGCAGGAGTTTAGCTACGTTGCTGGTGATGGGAGTAGCGTGTTTCGTCCTAGCAAGCTCATCGAGGTCCATCCATTCACACCTCAGGCACTCCTGCTGGCAGAAGCTGATGCTGAAGGAGGAGGGCTCCAGGCGACAGATGATGTACATATCCGACTTCCCAAAGGCTCCGGGGTGTTTGTGTTGCTGTCTTATGCTTAGGATGGACTTGAACTCTGACTTAATGCCAGTCTCTTCGAAAACCTCTCGAACTGCTGTGTCTCCTAGGTGAAAAGAGCAATCCTTACAATACATACAAGAATAGCTTAACACTCTTTTAACCTTTTGGTCATGGAAAACTTCTAACTCAAAGCGCGCTCTGTTCTGCTTCATAAGCTTTTCAGAATGTAAGCCCATTTGTTTCGACACAAGGATAAGCTGATTTTTTGGTCCCTGAAGAAAACTAACTGCTACATGCCTTTCTTCTGTATGTCCTACAAAATGATGAAAGTAAGAAACTTTCGATAATGCCGTACAGGGTGTGGTTTTGAAACGGACATTCTGACGGTCGCTGGCTCCACTGATCTCTCAGTCCAAGATCACATTGCACCCTCTCTTCAGTCCTTTGAATCTTAGCCCCCGTCTCTCTCCTTGCTTCTACCCAGTGTCAGGTTCAGACCCTGTGCAGCTGAAACCTGTCCGTATGTCAGATCACTTGATCAAGTCCCTTAGTTTCATTGCACTTTGCCACAAGGTGTAACAAAATGGGTGAAACTATCGTTTGCAGAAAGTGGAAGTTGTCACCGAGTCCCTTTCAAAATGTGTCTGAAGTGTCTAGTGACATTTGAAATATGCCATGGTACCAGCATAGCATGTAGCCTGTTCTTGCAGAAGACATGCTGCATCCATGCTGCACATGTACATTTTGTGTACATCAACCAAAGTTAAGATTCCTCGTGACAAAAGCAGCCATAACTTCAAGGGTCTAGAAGGTCTGTGTACTGCAATTACAGCCAGAGAATTGCCCGTCTATCCGGTACTCTTCAAAAGAGAAGAATTTTCTCTTGAATGGTAACTTAAATTGAAGAGCCCAAATGAGATTTTTGATACTCCACTTATTTCCCCAAATTCTGCAGTTTCACTGTAGTCAAGTCAAATCCTACTTGCCTGGGGTAACTACTGGTAGGTGAAATACTAGCTTTTCCCAAATCTATGTAAACTCACAGTTGTGTCTTGTTTGAGTGGTAAATGCATATAGGTGTTTTGCGATGTTACCTGCTTCAGCTAGTTCATTTTCAGTAAGAAATTGGGTGTGTTGGCTTACTTCCAAAAGCAAAATACATTTTACAAGACCTTGTAGAGATTTGCCTTCCTATGGAAGCTTGCATCTTGACATGTCGGAGGTGAACTAAACAGACATTTTAGGAGTAGTTTCAAATCTTGGAAATAATTTCAGGACAGACAGTGGCTAGCAATATATAAACAAAATGATTTATCCATCAGAGGCCGAACAACTATATGGTAATGGCCCTGATTCTGCACATACTTCTGCCTCAGCTCAACTTCCATCTTGCAATGGAACGAGCTGTGTAAAGTTTACACCGAGTATATAGAGGTCCTTGTGGGACTGGAGACCCGTTAATACATGGTGTCTGCAGAACATTGACGTTTGTGACTTTGTTACAGTATTAATTAGTTAAAAAGCTACTACATATGGGGAAGAAGTACATGAGGGAAGATAGTCATTTACCATTACTGACCCCTGAGGAGACTGCATTTCATGTTGCGCAGAGAGGCCTCTGTGGTCCTCTGGTTTAAAATAGCGGTTGTAAAGCAGACTTCCTGTGGCAAGTGGTTTTATTATTAGGCAAGGGGCTGTATTACGCAAAAGTGGTCAAAGAAAGTAAACAACTGAGATGATGAGGAATGCTGAGGCAGGCTGTGGTGAGAAAAGTGAAATAATTAGGGATTTCATTTAAGCTTTGAGCTTTGCTTTTAGATAAAGTGCCTTTTTCTTCTTCCCTTTTATTTAAATGTGTATGTATATATATAAAAAAATATATAATGACAGTTAAACTAGAAGAAGCATTAGGGCTTGAGTTTCCGAAATATTCAAATAAAAAAACGTGTGCACTTTGCTTAAGCTGCATTATGAAACTACTCAAATTACTTGCGCGAGTCAGTTTGTACTCATTAAAGTAGGCAGCCATATATTTTGTCACTTCATATAATCACAGGATCTTCAAGCATTGTAATTGCAATTTGTAATTGTAATTTGAAATTTAGTCCCTTGTATGACTGTGAGTTTATAAGGTTTGATGTAAGGATAAAAAAAGTAAAACTAAGCTCTATTATATTTTATGCTTCACTAATTTATATCTTCTTGTAATATTAAGATGTGATGCGGAGAATCATAACTTATTATTATGTAGTTTAGTAGTGGCAGGAGGGGAGCTGTAAGAGACTTGTTTCCTCCCAGGGGTTTCTCAATACCTACATCCAGGCTTCAGCCATAATCTCACCTGTTATCTGAGGGATGGCCACTGGCTTACTCAGTATTCCTCTGGGGAAGCTGTTGCCAGTGCTGGTCATTCTTTTCCCTCAGTACAAAAATCCCTCTGGTATCTCCTAGAAGTGAAAGGGAGCCTGGCTAGACAACAAACACGGCGTTTGGGATTCTTCTGAAAACATGAATCCATTTCACTATGTTATATGTGTTTGCATTGTCAAGCAAATAATTTTGATTTCTATCTTTGTTCGACAAAAAGACTTAAAATGTGATTCATGAGTTATGAAAACTACAACTCGGCCATATCCCGCTAACTAGAAACTTTCTCCGTGTATTGAAATAATGAACTGGAATACAAGCCCTCCACACGTTGTTGTAGGAAGACTGCTAAAAATAGTAGATATTTCTAAGGTATGAAACAGTCAGGAAACCTGGGCTCAACACCCGGTTTGCCAGAGCTGCTGCACTGCTCTGAGCAACATTTTTGAGTTCTGCATTTGAGTTATTGGAAGAATGTATTCGTATCTGAATACTGATGTGGGGCTAAAATTAATGTGACAAATGCAACTTTTGAAAACGACCTACCTAGTAACTGCAGTGAAACGTAAGAATTAACCAGTCTGTGGATCATAATTTTAAGGGGTGAGATACAAGGAGAAAAAGCACAATTTCCTATCTCTTCATAAACACCCTTGTTCATTCACCTCTGAACATAACTGCAGCAGTGTTCATCATCACCTGTGCTGCGCTGGATAGAAATGATAGGTTTCCTCAAACCAGCATTGTTTTTTAATACAGAAGTGCCTCATGTCTCCGGTTGAAAGTAGGTGCCCACAAGACTCAGGCGCTGCACTTAATGCTCGTCCTGTGCCAAAGAGCTCTTAGTCTAAGCAAATCAAATGAACAAGGGTGGAAGGAAGCAAGTCCATTTATTTCTGTTTTGCACATAAAAATGGAGAGTTGGAAATTTTTGCTCAGTACATCATTGAGCTCACTGCCCTGGATTCCAGTGTGAGCCGGGAGCTCGCCGTTTCAGTTTTATTTGGGTTATATACTGATTACCTTAATCCTCTGCACTTTTGGCTCATACTACAGCATATCCAACAAGCCTACAAAAAGTAAGTTGGCTTCAAGCACTCATTTAAGAGCAATTGTGGAAAAGGGTAAATGTTGCAAATACAATTCTCTGCCCTGAACAACATAATGTTACCCCATTACCATTAAGGTCATGGGATCATGTCACTTCATCTATTTTCCATTAATTCAAAGAAGTGATTAGTCACAGGAGTGATGTGGGTCACGATGTATTTCGGTACTGTTAATGTCTTTATAATTCTGTTGACGTCTGACCTGTTATCCTAGGACTTACCAATGTCTTCGCCTGGATTAGACAGACCTCCTGGAAATTTCCACGCATTTAGAGTCTGTATTGGAGGAAAAAAATACTAATGAAGTATGCAGCCTGTTTTGTACTCTCTAATATGAAGGAGACAATTAACATGTGACTTTTTTTTTTTTAAGTTGCAGTATTGTAATTACTCTTACAAACGTCAGTAAGGCTTTAAGTAGGAACTTCTTTGTTCTTGCTAACGTGATGATCAGAGATATCTACAGTCTGTATGAAATATTGGAACAAAACATCTACTGATTGAAAATACAAACTGTCTAACAGTCATTAGACAACGTTGCTTTGCTGCTAGATAACTAAATACAGTAGTTGAATATTAAAAAAAGCTGCTATAGACTAGATAATCTTATATTTAATCACTAATGCATTCCACTTCCATGGTTTTGGCTTTTAAAAAATGTGTATATATTTAATCTTACAAACAGGTATTATGATTGTAGTACTGTTCTGTACTGCACTGGCTTTAAGATGACTTTGTGTGTCTGTAATAACCATTTAGTGTAACTTGTCATTTGTTTTCATGGAATACAAAAACTGAGGCCTCGTGTGTGATTTATATATAGAAGCATTTATTGAATTGCAATAAAGTTCAGTACTTAGAA